TTTGGGTCATACAAACAAATCGCCTTTATTTCGCCGAAAAAAATTAAAACTACTACAGAGTACACACATTCGTTGTTGTAAACTGGCAGCAGCAGCAATAGCAGCAGTTCATTTAATATTTTGACAATACAGATTTTTGTTTTGTTTGTTTTGGCCTTTCTACACGATCTGCGTGAGCGACACAGGCCACTAACATTACGTCCCGGCCTTTGTTGCTGTATTGAGTCCATTCACAAATGATGATTTGTTTGTTATAAGTTTTCTTCTGGAAATCATTCTAGTAGCCGCGTTATCGCCTCCGCCGCCATTGCTGCTAGTGTTAGTCTTTTGCCATGTCGATAAATAGAGCGCGCGCCCATCATTCGCTGGTGATGCCGTATGGCACATTCGTGAAATATTCTTGGTTGTGTTTGGTTTTTTGCTTGCTAAAATGTTAGTTCACTGAGAGAAATTAGTTTGGTGATTTTGAATTATGGAATATTTAATTAATTTAATTTAAAATATGGAAAATGTAGGCAAGGTACTTTGGTGTATCATTTATATGAAATATAGTGAACCGGGCACAAAATCTTAACCGCTTTTTATGAAAGTAAACACTCAATTTCTCCTCAATCGGGCAAACGTTGGGTCCTTGTTGCACTGCGAGTAATTAGACGAAAATATTTATGGGATCTGTGTCTATCTGAAGCGATTGTACCAATTTCAAAATGGTTCGTCCTTGAGAAAAATACATCAGCTGGACCGAATTTCATTTCATCCAGAACGGCACTGCCACATTTTTGATATTTTGCAGGTTGTATTGTATCGAATTGGTATACCCTCAGTCTTATGTCCTTACCCTTTGATATGGCAAAATTGAGCCTCATCGAAATATATGTTTTATACCCTGTATTTTTACAAAATCCGTTTCATACAATTTGGAGTAGATTTAAAAATGTCCGTCCACCTGTATGTTTGGTACGCACAATAAGAGAGTAACCGTTTTCATCTGAACTTTGCACATTGTAATATTTCTTTTAATCTTAAATCTAGTTCGGTAATGGGGCATATCGGGCCCCTTTGCAGTCCATCCGATTTGAACCATATTTTGCACAATACGATATTTCTAGATGGAAGTTTTCATCCGAATTGAATGATGGATTCGGTCCAAACTGTGTACATCATAATATGTTTACCAACTCTAAATTAAGTCTTATCGATCCATTGCTTTTGGTGTCTCCGACTCCAAGTGTCAAAATATGAATATATGTTAAGCCATGCGAACCTTGCTCAGCGTTATTTTTCAACTAAGCCTACGCCAATCCGAAGATAGGACTCATCGGTCCACTCCTTCTGGTACCTCGCCCTTCTATTGTTAACATTTTGAATTTTTTTTAATCTAATGTCAATTGAATGGAATGCCGAATTTGATTCAAACTTTGCAAAGCGTGATACTTTTGCCAAACATAGTTCAAATCCGAAGCAGGGGCCCATCGATCACCTCTTTCTGATGGTAAGGTCTTTAAATATCACAGTGTGGTGAAGGGAATACACATGTAGTAAATCCATTGGGGTCTAAATAGTATGATACATCTTAATATATATATATATATATATATATATATATATATTAAATATATTTTAAGTGCTATTATAAGTTATATATGTCCATCATCTTGTCCATCCTTGCACCTCCTCCATAATTCCATATACCATGAGCTGTGGGTACCCATCAATGGACAATACTGACCGACACTTTCTTACTTCATCATTGAGAGTTGCTATCATTTGGCATTCCAGGTATGGGAAGGCTGCAAAATCTAGTTTTAACATTTATAACCTCTACTATGGTGGTATGGGTCGACCTACCATAATATCAGCGTAACATTCTATGACGATTTAAACACGCCTGTCTCTCCGTCTACCTGTTCTAATCATTTAAACGAATTGAGATAGATAGCCAACATTTTGCATAGAGTTGTCTTTTGTCTGCAAGCATGTCAAGTTCGAAGATGGGCTATATCAGTCCTCATTTAGGCATAGCTCCCATATAAGGGTACCGCACAATTTTCGATATTTTGGGGTTCCTGTGCGTAATTTTCAACAGAATCGCTGAAATTTGGTACAATGGCTTCTTATTGGGTACCAAATTTCTCTACTAAAAACTATAAATATGGGTCTACTTTTTTCTGGTAGCCCCCATGGGTACCCCCAATTTTCTGTTTTTATACTCTTCACCTCACTGTGGTACAGGGTATGTTTGTAACAGGCAAAAATAATCGAGATAGAGCCATGGTTCCTTTTGAGAATATGCATAGAATCACTTTCTAAGTCGATTTATGCATGTCCGTCCGCCCGTCTGTCTGTCTGTGTTAAATTGTAAACAAAGTAGAGGTCGCATTTATGTTCCGAATTGGATGAAATTTCGCATAAGTCACTTATTCAGCCCAAGGACGAACCCTATTGAAATTCGGAAAAATCGGTTCAGATTTAGATATAGCTCCCATATATATATTTAACCGATTGAATGTAAACGGTCCCTATATATCTTTCGATTTGCACGAAATTTGGTACAGGCTAATCATTTAGGCCTATAATGATGTCTGCCAAGTTTCGGGAAAATCGGTCCAGATTTAGATATAGCTCCCATATATAGTTTCGTCCGATTTCATGTAAATGGTGCCCCAAAGTCCCTATATATCTTTTGATTTGCACGAAATTTGGCACAACGCACTGAATTAAGCCTAGAGTGATGTCTGCCAAGTTTCGTGAAAATCGGTCCAGATTTAGATATAGCTCCCATACATAGTTTCGTCCGATTTCATGTAAATGGTGCCCCAAAGTCCCTATATATTTTTCGATTTTAACGAAATTTGGCATAACGTACAGAAGTGAGCCTAGAATGATGTCTGCCAACTTTCGAGAAAATCGGTCCAGATTTAGATATAGCTCCCGTATATAGTTTCGTCCGATTTCATGTAAATAGTGCACCAAAGTCCCTATATATCCTTCGAGTTGCACGAAATTTGGCACAACGTACTTAATTGAGCCCAGAATGATGTCTGCCAAGTTTCATGAAAATCGGTCCTGATTTAGATATATGTCCCATATATAGTTTCGTCCGATTTCATGTAAATGGTGCCCCAAAGTCCCTATATATCTTTTGATTTGCACGAAATTTGGTACAGCCTTATCATTTAGGTCTGCCAAGTTTCGTGAAAATCGGTCCAGATTTCGATATAGCTCCCATATATAGTTTCGTCCGATTTCATGTAAATGGTGCACCAAAGTCCCTATATATCCTTCGAGGTGCACGAAATTTGGCACAACGTACTTAATTGAGCCCAGAATGATGTCCGCCAAGTTTCATGAAAATCGGTCCTGATTTAGATATATCTCCCATATATAGTTTCGTCCGATTTCATGTAAATGGTGCCCCAAAGTCCCTATATATCTTTCGATTTGCACTAAATGTGGCATAACTATGTTAAAGTTTTTGATCGCATTTTTCGACCGACTAATATTTGGCGTGAAGGAAGATATTGTGGTGCAAAATTTTAGATTCGAAAGTGAGCTATATCAGTCTTAAATTTTTACACGATGTAATCAATTCCATCCCATAAAATCCTTTGTACGTTGATGATAACCTCATATAACATTGCCCTCCAAATTGCAGTATATTGGGGATTTTGTATACATGTTTCTCGCTACCAAGCGTAGTTAAAATCGGTCCACATTTTTGCTGAAATTTGTATTTACAACAATCGTTTGGTAAATTGTTGGTATAGTTATACTTTTTGGTATGTTCCCTATATTTCATGTAGCTATCAGTATACCTATGGTGGAGGGTATCCATAGTTCGGTCCGGCCGAACTTAACACATTTTTCACTTGTTACATTTGTTCTATTTAATATTACCTATATTGTAAAACAATATATCCCGGAGAGATTATTTAAATATTTATTTTTTTTTTCAAGTGTAATTCATTCAGCAACACACCAACGATCTTTTCCTCTCTGTCTATTCATAATAGAGAATTCTGAATATTGTGTTTTTGTTTAAATCGAGCATTTTTGATAATTCGTTTTTTGCTGCTGTTTTGTTTTTGTATATTTTGCGTCTCCCATCAGTTCGATGCCACTTTAGTAGTCCCGTCAGCCATGATGATGGTTGGTAGTGTAGTGTAGTACCAGACGGTTTGGCAATGAAAATAACGACCACCACCAACATCATCACCAGCATCATCGGCAGTAGTGTTCTCGCGAACAACAAAACAGAACGCGCTTTACAAAATTCATGTACTTATGTCTGTCAGTCAGCCCGTTGAATATTTTCTCGTTAAGCGTTTAGTATCTCGATGGTACGGCTAACGTGTAATATGTTGCAAAAACAACAAAGCAACAATAATACTTCTCAGAAATTGGAGGAAAAGGAGAGAATTCCTGAAATTGTGATCGATTATTAAAAAAAAAAAATATTAATCTGTTCAAATAATAAGCAAATTGTCCTCTGAACGTTAGTGAATAGGAATTCGTGGAATTTATTGTAAAATTTTCGGAACTTTATTACATCGAAGTGAATAACAATTGACAAAGCGAGCATAACGAGTACGGAGCGATTCGATATTCGAGTGAAAAATGTGATAATTTGTTTGAATAGTTCATTAATAAAATAAAATACTAAAATCGAATAGAATACATTTTTATCCATTAAATAAAAAATAAATAAAACAACAACAAAAAACATAGCATGTTTTGTCGCATAATAAATTATTTGATAATATCCAATAAAAATTCCCTCTGAGTCATTCACATAGGAAATAAATTAATAAAATAAAAATAAATTAATGAAAACGAATGAAAATAAATAAAATCTGAAAAATATATTTTTTTTCGGAAATTTTGTTATAAATGAATATTTTGTGATATCAGTTGTGTTGTTCTTCATGTCAATATTTTTCAATCCCAACTCTGTGCGTAATTTTTAAATGAAAAGTGCAAAACAAAGCCGTCAGCAACAATATGGAAATGCCGAACGTAAACGTTCCGAAAAATCCTATAAGTACGTTTTTTTCAATTTTTCATAATATTTTTCATTTAGCAAGAATTATAATTCCATCAGTTTTCCTATTGTATTTCGTGTGTAGAGCACAAAAGAATAGATCAAAAGGCAATTTATATTTTAGAATTATAATGAATGAATGCTTATTTTGTGTTTGTTGTGTTTATACCTAAGAATAGAAACGTAGAAGAGGAAACAAATATATAAAAAATAATTTATAATTACTCCCGATATTAACACATGGCCTTTTATTCGGCTGCCAAGAATAAATCAACACAAATCAAAATGTGTGCTCACATTAAGGTGGGTATAAGGAAAAAGTTCGCAAAACGATGGATTTATGTACGTCCGTCTGTGTTTTGTATTCATAAACGCAACCTTGGGTTAATGATATGTATATGAAAATTGGTACAATCAGTATTAACCTTATCAAAATTCTCAAATGTCGTTTGAACCTAATCAATTTTAATATATTTGAGTAGATTTAACCATGACCATCAGCCTGTCTTTCGGACTTCTTGGTTAAAAAGATATTTCATTTCTGTCATCGTCAAAATGACTGCCAAGAGAAAAGTAAATACCAAAATTAAGACCCTCATGTAGGGCTAATATATATATATATAGGACCTAAACCTAAAACCTAGGCGTACTTTTCAACCGAAATAACTGTAATTTGGCATTGTGGTGTTCTACTTACTTCGAATTTACTTATTTATTTAAAATGTGTTGAAATGTCAACGCATTATCCACAAGATTATGGATGACACACTCAAATGTTAATGCCCAAAAGGTTAGTAACCCAAAAAATATATATTAAAAATTATTTTTGGCCACAGTTCAATAATATTTGACAGTCTGAGATAAAGCAGGAATATTTCAAATGTCAATGCTCTTGACACACTTACAATGGAATACTGTGTATCAGTGTCTGATTAAATGGATTTGATACGCACAAAAAAAAACCCAGGCAGTCCGAACATGTTATACCATCAGCATATGAAATCCTTCAACTATGCAAATATATCCAATTTAGTGACAGATTAAGGAATAAGGAAGGAACAACATACTACCTGTGTTCCGTTGGTGGCAAATAGTCACCAATCTGGTGCAAAAATTATAATTATAAATGTTAAGAGTCCGTATAACGATACTGTACGGTATGGGGTTATAACATCTGAAACCTCAGATGTAATCAAATATGGGTACGATATTTATGTATGGAATGTTAACTACAATCGAACCTCTAACTTTTGTGAACATCAGTCAATTTTGATGGCAACTTTTCCGAAACGTTCCACCGTAGTGCGACTCCTGATGCACAAAAATTACTAATTTCAGAAAATTTTAATGGGATTTTTTCCTATGATAATAAAATCCCAACAAGTGAGCCGATATTAGTAAAATGAATCTAAGATTTTTAAGGTATAGCCTCCTATACCTTTGTCCTCTATATTATGGTATATTAATTTAGAGGATAAATTAAAAGGGGACTAAAATTGATTACCTCTGGTAATGAGGGGATGAGGAACGATAATGTACATCGATACCTTCCCTCGCACTAAATTTCCGTTCGCCTGTGTATATATATATATATATATATATAACAATTATAATGCTATTTTTTACAGCGTTCTGAATTCGATACGTATTGACGTATACGAAGTTTTGTGGAAATCGGTTTAGATTTCGATATAGCTCCCATATACAGTATCGTCCAATTTTTGGTAAATGATGCACCAAACCCGAGAATGGGTTGGTCCCCTTAAGTCAAGTTTAATGCCCGTGAAGTTTTATTGTAATCAGGTAAATCGACCAAACTCCCAGAGTATTACACATGATACCTTGTAGAAGTTGTGTGGAAATTGGTTCCGATTTGTATATAGCTCCTATGTATAGTTTCGTCGGATTTAATGTAAATGGTGCACCAAAATCCCAAGTATTGTCCGTTTGAGACAAAATCTTACACTTCGTACTGAATTATGTCCACTTTAATGTCTGTGGAGATTGTTTTGAAATCGGTTCAGATTTAGACAAATCACATATAAAGTTTGGTCCGATTTTATGTTAATGGTGCACAAAACTCCCAATATTTGTCCGATTGAGACAACATCTTGTGATATCTATGGAGTTAGGTCCAGATAGTTTTGTGGAAATCGGATTAGATTTATATATTTCCCATATATATTTTCGTTCGACGTTATGTAAATTGTGCTCCAAGCAGCCTACGTCTGTTCCATATTCACGAGATAAAATTGCCGATAGCGCACTGTGCTACAGCATACCAAATGGTATATACACTGTGCTGCAGCATTTTTAATATTTAGCGTAAAGGAAGGTATTGAGGTACAAAACTAATATATTAGATTCAAATTGAGCTTAGTCACGTTTAGGTATATCCTCATATAAATGGTATATACCACGGTTGGTCAACTAATTTCAGATTTATACATAATTCCACAAACATTATTTGGCCCGAATTTCGGTATTTTAATATTTAGCGTGAAGGAATGTATTGAGGTACAAAACTAATATAATAGATTCAAATTGAGCTTAGTCACGTTTAGGTATATCCTCATATAACTTGACCCTCTATGTTGCAGTATTTCGAGGATTTTATATACATGCTTCACCCTAATATTCGATATCAATATCGGTCCACGCTTTGTCGTTTTGAGAATTTGGCGAAGAATCTCCATTAAAAATTGCTGAATGTTTTATTTGTTGTACATGGTTTACAACAATCGATTGGTATAGTTGTCGTCATAGGTCCATATTTTGGTATGTTATCTACATTTTAATTTCAATTAACTGTTGGTCTTCCTATGGCAGGGTATCCAAGGTCCGGCCCGGTCGAAGTTAACGCTTTTTCTCACTTGTTTAGTTTTGAATCTTTCTCAAGTGGATGAATATGGCTAAATCGTCATAGAAATCCATACTTTTTAGGATGTAAATTGACAATTTCGAGTACAACCTCTATAATATTGTGGAATAAGGTTATTTGGTAGAACATGGAAACAAGTCAGTGCTATCTTCAAATGGGGGCAAATATTAATATTTTAGTTAGTAGGGAGATTTGTTACCAAATAGTAATGCAAAATACCAATCCGATTGAAAAACGAGTTCGAAAGTCAGAAAATATGAGGGTAGGGTTTTATACGGACTTCAATAGACCAATAGAAAACTAAAGGATCAAATATAGTTATATCGGGGCTGTGCCTAAATATTGAACTGATTATTTTAGGTAACAAGAATTGGTTCCTTTACATTTTATTACAATGTTTTTTTACATTTCTTCAAAACAATTGTACCGACTCAAGGTAAATATTTGACGGTATCCAAAATTATTACTACAAAAATCATGTAACACAAAATCATGTTCGATAATTTTAACGTTTCCATTTACTATTTATAAGGAGTATAATAAATTTCCTACAACGCTTACTATAACTTAATTCAAATAATTTTAATCGAAATCCCTGTGAACGACCCACGTCTAAGTAAACAACAATCAATAACGAATGGCATGGTGTTTTCAATTGAATTGATCAGCCATTAATTTATGCGAAACATTTCCGCTAAACTAATCATTTATCAACAAAAAATTGAAGAACCAATCTGAGACTATCTGCAGTAGTTTACTGTTAATTTAAATAAAAATATATATCACGTTTTAGCAGTTGTTCTATATTTTACACAAAACTAACGCAAAAGGCCATGAACTTTTCGCCTAGAAGTTTTATTGGAACAAAGCTACAACAAAAACAAAACATAACAACAAATCGTACAAAAAATGAAACCTTGTCCCACCAAACAAATATCACATTTCTTGCTAATGACTTTGCTATCACTATGGCATTTACACTGCAATGAATCTTCGAAATCCTTGAAGAAAATAGAAAAATTCTCCGCTAGCCATTTTCCGGTGAGCAAAAATAACAAACAAAAAATGTCACGAATTTTATCAATAAACATTGCTTAAAAATACACGTAACAATATTTGTACGTGATGTAGTTTTAGCATTTAAAATCATAAACATTGAAAAATGAGAGGAAGAGAGAGAGAGAGAGTGGGAGAAAATGTTTTGAAATCAAGCAGCGAGTCAGCCAGAGTAGTGGCAGTGCCAACAGTCGACGCTCTATACAATGTGGTCTAAACGTCCTAATAAGTTTTTCATTCAACGTTCAGGGTTATAACAAACCAAAAATGTGGCATTTTATTGATGGGCATTTTAATGCGACACATAATTTTCTAGCATAGTTTTTAGCTGGGAAGCGCGTTCGTGCTGTGATATGGTATGCTGACCAGTTGCGTTTATTGTCTATTAAAAATATTTGTAAGCATTCTAAAGATACACTCGAAAAAAAAATATTGACAAGCATTCAAAGATTTTAAATTTATATTTTATTTATATTTTTCTTAGAGAAGAACAATTGATCTTCCATAATAAGACCTCATAATTTTCAAAAAGAAGGCCAAATGGTTTTCTATAAGACAACCACATAATCTTCTAAGAATGACTCATAATGTTCTATAAGAAGACCTAATAATCTTCTAGAGAAAACATGCAAGACTTCTAGAGAAGTTATCATAGTCTACTATAAGAAGATCACATGGTCTTATATAGGGTCACCTCATAGTCTTCTATAAGAACACCTCATAGTCTTATATAAGAGGTGAGGTCTTGTCTAGTCTCATAGTTTTCTAGACAAGACCTCAAAGTCTTCTATGAAAGACTTCATTATCTTCTAAGGAAGACTTAATTGTCTTCTATATAAGACTTGACCTTCTATAAGAAGACCTTCAGGACCTTCAATTAGAAGACCTCTTGGTCTTTTTTTTGGGAAGATTTTATGGCCTTCTATATGAGAAGACCTCATTGTCTTCTGTATGAGACGACCTCATTGTCTTCTGTATGAGAAGTCCTCATTGTCTTCTGTATGAGAAGACCTCATTGTCTTCTGTATGGAAAGACCACATTGTCTTCTGTATGAGAATAACT